AAGGTTAAGAGGCAAGAGCAGGCATTTCTGACTGGATGACCCAGGAGACTGCACTGAAGAGGCAGTACCTGAACAAGACTGTTTGAAACATCAACAGTTGCCATGGGGAAGATGCCCCAGCACTGACAGAGTCACAGAGATGAGGAAGAGAGGAATATGAAACGGTCTGGCCTGGCGCTGGGGCCAGGAAGGAGAAGTTGCAGTCCCTCCAAGTAAGCAAGCAAGTGAGGTGCTTCATGCGGTCTGAGAGCCTGACAAACCTCACTGTCTCACTGAGCCCTCACAGTAACCCCATACAATTAAGTGAAAGCACCTCATTTTTATAAACAGGGAAACTGAGGCACAAGGAAGTTAATTCACCTGCCTGGAGTCACACAGATAATGTTCAGAGATGAATGGAGATTCAAGATAGGCTGGACTCCAGAGCCCAGGATGAAAGCCCGTCAGAAGAGAGGCGAGATGCTTCAGCAGGTAGAGGCTTTGCTGCCAAGCCTGATGACCTGAGTTCAATCCCTGGGACCCCAATGTCAGAAGAGAGAACCAGCTCCCACAAGGTGTCCTCTGGTCTCCATATAAATAGTGTGGCTTATGTATATTCACACACATACATAGGTGCACACACACACAAAAATAAGTAAAATACACATGAAATGTTTTAATAAGAATACAAAGAGTGATTCCAAGCTCACTGGGCATCTGGCAGAAATCCAAATGAGAGCCAGGTTCCCCCGGGGTCTCAGCTCTTCCCTGTGTGATGTCAGGAGCAGGGCATAGCAGGTGATTCGTAAATGCCAAAGTAAAGATGGGAGTGAAGTCCCTCTCTGCTTCTCTACGGAGCTTTTTGGGACATTCTAGAAAACTATTGTTATAGAGAAAATAAAATAACAAGGATAAGCCTTGCAAAATGGCATTTTAAAGGAGGGGAGCAGCTAGGAGCCGGGATTGGTAACATGCTTGGCACACAGACATGAGGACCTGCATTTTTATCCCTGGCACACATATACAAAACTAGCTATGAGCAGGACATTGTACCCACAGCACCAGACAAGTGAAGACAGAAGGATCTCCGGGACTTGCTGGCTAACTGCCCAGCTGACTTGGTGAAAGACCCCACCTCAGATGACCCCACCTCAGATAAAAGGTGGACAGTGCTTGATGAGGAATCCTACCTACCTCTTACAGAGAGAGAGAGAGAGAGAGAGAGAGAGAGAGAGAGAGAGAGAGAGAGAGAGAGAGAGAGAGAGAGGTGTTGGGGTGTTTTGCCCTGTGCATCCCAACAAAGGCAATGACTCCATGCAAACAGGTGCAAGAGGTAAGGGCTAAAAGAAGCATCTAGAACACGCCTGGTATTGGGATAGCCGGTACACTCTTTCTTCTCTTGGCCATGGCATTCCAAAAGCATTGCCATCTGTGGCTGCAGGTTATGAGACACAGAAGAAAACAGCTGGCCTAAAATGACAGGGGTGGGGTGGCTGTGGGAGCCCAGGCCAAATACTCGAGAAGGCTTGAAACTGAGGTGTGTCCTGCTCAGTGGCAGATCTGACAGAGGTCGGGGAGGGGTTAGGAACAACTCCTCAACCACTGAGGATTTATTTTGTGCCATACTCTTTACTAGATGGCTAAAAGAGCTGTCTATGGATGCCGAGGGTGCACGTGGCTGTTTTCAGGCCCCTGTGTCTATCTCTTGGGTCTGCCAGTCACTCTATGAGCACAATAATCCTGGTGGCCTCTGAACATCACAGAGATCCAGGAGAATCAGCTCTCAATCTCCCATTTTATAGAAAAGAAATGGATTCTCTAGGAGAAACTGGCCCAGGGCCAGTGGGTGATCTGGGATTTTCTTTGGTGTCTGTCCTTGTGCTGGACCTCTGGTTTTTCCTCACTGCCCTCCTTTCTGGGGGCACCTAGAAAGTGTACAGTGGCCAAGACAGAGGCCTCTTGATGCTAGAGCCAAGAGGTATTCAATACTGTGATCTGGTGGAGGGGGGGAGGAAGTGGCCTGGGGGAGTGTGCTAGGTGTGGCCTGGGGCAGAAAAAGAAACATCCCTGCAAAGGTGTGCTACTAAGCACCACTATGGATTTGATGTTCCCAAACTTCCTCTCAATCATGAAGGCCTGAGGGTCTGTCTCCCTTCCCCTGGAGAGGGGCAGCTGGAGCATCTCTTGAGCAGAGAGACAGTCCTGGGTATGGGGACTCCCACCCCTTGAAGGCAAGGGTGATTTCATTCCCTCTGAAACCCGACACCTAGAAAACAAACGTGTGTGTGTGTGTGTGTGTGTGTGTGTGTGCGCGCGCGCGCGGCGCTACCCGGCTACCCGGCTCCACAAACACCCTCAACCCAGTCTCACTTCAGCCGTTTCCACCCCACAACCTCCTTTCTCACTCCCCCAACGGGTCCCTATCCCCGATGAGAAAAACTGTCCCTTTGACCCCACTGACCCTCAAGTCCTAGGGAAGATCCCCAAGTTCAGGAGAGGGAGGGCTCTGAGCTGGCAGAGGTGCACCACAGCTGCCCCTCCTTAGCCTTTAGCCACAGAGGGAGGCTAACTGAGATGTGGGCTTGGCTCTGGTAGGAGGCAGAAAGCTTCCTCTTAAGCAGAGAGGCGGGAACTTTAATTACCCAGGCAGAGCAAGGGAGTGGGTTTGGATGCTGCAGGGCCAGGCTGCGAATCTGTTTCTCTCATGTCCCTACTCTGGGTCTGATGACTGTTTGATCCTGAACATGGAGCTTCTCTATTGTTCCACACTTACCCAGGCTTGTCCAAAGTGAGCTAACAAGCACCATAGGAGTAGCCAGGCTTCAGGTCGCTAATGAAGAACAGACAGCTGTGTGGGGCCTGGTAGAGAGGCCTCCCTGGGCAGAGCAGTTCAGCTTGGGGAAGGGAGAACCTTCACTCCAGCAGCTGCTTTCTGTATTAGCAGCATCTAACAGAGAGGAGGCCAAGGCAATGTGTGCCAGGTCACACCCTAACAAGTGGTGGAAGTCGGGGACCCAAACCTCCTGGCCCCAACTCTGTTCAGTCAGCTCTCAAGTTGGTTCCAGCTCTCCAGTTCACATGGCTCTTCATGGCCTCTGGGAAAACATACCACCTCAGTCCTGAACCTTCAACTTTGTCCCTGAACTTGCCCAACAAGGCAGCCTTCTGTTAGCATGCTTTCCAGTCATGAAAGGGTTAATAACACGATGAATGTCTGGAAAAGAATCGCCTCTAGTAGATGCTAGATCAATCATTGTGAGGTTTAAGGGCATTAGCCTGGTTCCTTTGTAGAAAGAAACAAGCTCAGGATGTAACCAAGGGAGCCGAAGCCTGTGGCATATGTTAAGCACCAGGTGTTCAGAAACTGTTTTTTTGTTTGTTTGTTTGTTTTGTTTTTGCCAAAGGTAACCCCTGGCATGCCTATCTCTACCAATGAGGTTTAGTCCCCAAAAAACTTTTAAAACTCATCCGTGCGTTTCTTGAGAACCTGTTGTGTGCTAAGCCCAGCTCCAGGCCCAGAGCCATAGATCGTAATTAGCAAATATCCACGTTTCTGTGTTCATGGGACTTGCATAGGAGCGTGGGCGACAGGAAAAGGTCAGGGAACAGCACAGTGCAAGAGCTCGCCCGGGGTCTAGAGGCTCTAGAAACAAGAAGCTGCCTTGGGAAACAGCAGGGCAGGGCATCTGAACCCTGAGAAAGGAAGGAAGTGGGAGCCAAATGATGGACAAAAGAGGGCAGGCAAAGGCTGAGGGGGGTAGGGTCTAGGGGACCAGAGGAAGTAGAGTCCATGGAGGGGTAAGGGACTGCCCTCTAAAATGTGGGACATTTCAGGGAGTGGGGTAGCTGCATACACGTTTAATTTTGGCCAAAAGCCTACAGTGTGGGTTCTAAGCCCTCAGTCACTTGGGGGAGGAAAAGCTGAGGCATACGAGGCGTGGCTTGCCCAGTGAGGATACTGCAAGGCCACTGTGTTAACACAGACCTGAACTGCGCTACTCACACCGCCTACAAACTGTTGTCCGCTCAACTTGATGCTATCCCTGGCTCTAGGCTTCCAGCATCATCCTCTACACCTGAGTGTCTGTCTCGGCGCTCTGCTGTCATTTTGTCTTCATGACTGGGCCTCAGGCTGAACAGAACTTGGCGCGATGTGATTCAAGGGCTCATTCGGAACATCGTGTCTTCCGTACAATTCCAAGTAGCTACATCCTTGGTTGCTAGGCAGCCAGGTGCAACCCCATGCAGGGGGCTGGAGATGGGGAATGATTCACCCTAGGCACCCACCCTTCTTTGCCTCTGTGCCTCAAGATACAACCCCTCCCAGCCAGGCAGGGGAAACCCCAGGGCAAAATGGACACAAGCTGAAAAAGCAAACAGTTCAAATCAAATAGAACAACTTCTGTCCCCACAGGAAAATGGAGCCAAGGATCTTCTTCAAAAGTAATGGGAAGAGCTTTGATGGCCATCATGATGGCTCATTTTTTGGCCAGGCCCCAAACACTGTTCCCAGCAGGTTCACATATGTGATGGGTGAATCTTTGCCTCACAAGAGCCCTGTGGGAATGGTATTGCTCAAATCCCACTTTATAGATGTGAAAAACACGGCACTGTGAAGACTAACATGCCCAGCCTGTTCACAACAGGATCAGGCACGGGAGCCCTAAGCCCAGCATCAGGACCAGTGGACACAAGGCAGGTCTGGGAAATGGCTGAGGACCGGTGAGGAGAAATAGACTCCTGGAGATTCTACTCCAAACTGGAGCTAGATTAATTGATTCACATCTTATTGGCAAAGAGCTGGGGTCAGTGAAAAGGGTCCAGGGGGTGGCAGAAGTGGCTGTCAAGGGGAGGAAACAGACCTAGGCTAGGAAAAGTAGAGAGTAGATAAGACACCTCCAGAGAAATCAAGAACAGCTTGCCACCAACTCAACATTCAAGACTTGGCACCTCGAGCATTGGGTGAGATGGGTCTCTGTGCCCTTCAGAGCCAGGACATACCTAACACTCTGGATGCAGAATCTATTTAATGTTTACTTTAATATGTGAGCAAAAAGAACAGAAACGGGGAGGGAAGGAGTGGGAGGAAGGAAGGAGTGGAGAAGTGGACGTCTGCCGTGGTGCCTTAGGGAGGTGAGCCCAGACTACATGGTGAATGAGAAGTGGGGTGGGAGGAAGAATCCTCACTGAGGGGCCACTGTAGAAAAAGACAAAGGCTTAGAGTCTGAATTTAAGTGTGACCTCAAGAGCAAAGAAAGGTCAAATCAAAAAACACCAAGGAAGTTGATCTACATCTCCATCCAGTCAGAGGAGGAACAGATGTGCAAGAAACAATGAATTTGGCTGGCAGGCACGTCCAAAACCACAACAAAAGACTTCCCTTCTATGGACCATGAGATTCTGTCCCAGGTACTGAAAACAAAACAAAGACAGACAGATGGAAATACATCTCAAGTCCTTCTCTACTTAACCCACAGCAGTGACAGACATCTCTAATCAATCCCAGTGCCCAACACCAATGGCAGGCCAGCATCTGAAAAGAGTGAGAAGACAAGCCAGTATCAGGGAGCCTGTGCTTTTTCTGCACTGAGGTCTAGACCCTGCCAATCTATTGTCAGAGCCCATGATCTAGGCCTCCTTGCAGTTAGAGCCCCAAGTCCTGTCTTCTAACCCAGTGGAACAGGAGCATAGTCAGCCCAGACTCTGTCCTTTCTCTGCCAAAGGAGGCCACCTCAGCTGCAATAGAAATATCACCAAGATGTCACCAGAGGCCTGTGGGTCATTCAGGACCCTGGTGTTCTGAATCCAGCACTTTCTCTGGTGCTTCTAGAAAGCCAAGCAGTGGGCCCAGGTGCAGGCAGAAGCACCTGTCACCACAGCATATCTGATGCTAATTTACATGAAGAGGCCGTGACTGGTTCCCCACAGAAGCCTTGGCCCAGCTCCACCCTGGTGCTATTTCCCCTCAGTCACCGTGGCTCCTGGATTTGCAGAGCCCAGCGCTTCACCGAACCCCATGCTACATCTCACTCCAGCCCCACAAGGAAGGGAATATTTGATTCCTGCCACACTGAACTGCAGACCCTGGCAGTGAAGAGGTCAGAGGCTTAGGCTGTGGTGAGGGCAACAGAGGGACCTTTTGAGGGTCCGTTGGGGAAACGCACTGGGCATTTTGGTTACTGACAGAATCCCTCTGATGCCTGGTGAAGCATCACCAAGAATGTCATGCCTTATAAAGGCTGACCCATGCCCGAGAGATTCCAACAGCCTGCAATGCAGAGTATTGAGACCATGGAGGACTTGACAGCTGCCCGAGCCTAGACAGGGCCCTCTCTGGGGAGTGGTACTACTGTTTCCCAAATGTCCGTCTGTGTCGCACAGCCTCTCCTCACCTTCTGCAGCCTGCAGAACCCCCTCACCTTATGTCCTGAGAGGCCCAGAGAGGGTGAATGTCTGTCCCTCACACCAAACAGCTGGAGAACAGAAAGGCCAGTCATTGAGTACTGTGTGCTCAAAGGCCCGAGAACAAAAAAAAAAAAAATGGTTCCGTGTTTTATCTGTGCCTGACCCAACTGCACCCATAAGAGTTTCACCCAGCATGTGGTCATGGCAGTGCCTCATTAGGCTTCCAAGTGAGTGCAGAAAATGAAGGAAGATGGCCCCCATGCTTCTGCTCACTGGCATGTGATGAGTTGGCGAGAGAAGAGGTGGTCACAGGGTACCCTGCAAGGACATTCTGCACACTCTTTGTAAGTTCCCCGGGCTCAACTTAGGAAGTCAGTGCTTTATGCACAAGGAAACCGATGCCCACGCTACGGCAACTCATTGAAGATCAGACAACTAGAAGCTGGCAGAGCTCAGGTTCTTCCTTAGACCCCTCCAGAGCCTATAGCTATGTAGCCTTTAGGGGGACACTCGGGGTTCAAAGCCATCAAGGTTAGCTTTCAAAGCAGCAGCGTAGGGGATCTGGGGTGTGTGTGGTTCAGCCGTAGAGTACCTGCCTGGAGTACCCAAAGCCCTGAGTGCAATCCCCGGTGCTAGTAAACAGGGTGTGGGGTGCACACTTGTACTCCCAGCACTTGAGGGGTGGAGGCAGGAGGTTCAGAAGTTCAACAGCATCCACCGCTCCTTACCAAGTTCAAGGGTAGCCTAGGATACGTGAGACCCTGTCTCAAGAAAAACAAAATGAAACAACAAAGGGCTGGTGTGCTGCTTGGACAACCCAGGCTGTCCATCCGGGCACATCAGCGATTTGCCTTCATAACTCTCTATCTCTTATCTCTCTCACTTTTGAAGTAGAGTCTGGCTATTCCATTCACATTGTCCTTGAACTCACTATGTAGCCCCAGTTGACCCAAAACTCACCTGGCAATTCTTCTGCCTCGGCCGGCCAAGTGCTGGGATTTGCAGGTGGGAGTCAGCATGTCCGTCTGCTTTCCCTTTCTTCTGTGCCTCAGTTTCTTCCCTCAGACTGTGGAATAATCCCCATCCGTTCACAGCCTCCATCATGAAGTTTTATCCACTTAGAAAGGTCTAGTTTAGTGTTTGTGGGTAAAGAACATGATCCCAGGCTTTAGGGCCTGGACTTTAAATCAAGGCAGACTCAGGTGACACCCAAAGGAGGGTGTCCTTACAGCTCCGTGCCTCAGATTCTCCATCCATAAGACATTTCACAAAATGAGGTCATAGGAATACCATGAGCAGTAAATGGTGCAGTGCCCATGCAGGGTAAATGATGGGGACACTGTGACCACTGTGCCAGTGTGCCATTGACTCCTGCCTTCCTGACCCCCACTTTCCCTGTGAGTTCTGTGGACCTGGGAGGCCCCGTGGGAGATGAGGGACAGCTGTAGCTTCTATGCCACCCTCCCCAGGAACTCACTCTGAGCCGGGTGCCCTGAGTTCCTTCACACCTGGCTCCCTGAACCTTCTGCTCATCGCCCAAAAGCCCCCGGAACTCTTTCATTGTCGGAGAGCATCCCTTTCTACAGCTTGCTTCCTGACCTAGTCCCCAAGCCACCATTTGTAAGAACAAGAAGAACCCAGTGTCCTGCAGTCTTCCCAAGAGTAACATCAGGATGGGAAGGTCACAGGCATCCAGGTTAAGGCTCAGGCTGCCAATGTGCAGGTCCTCTTCAAGCCTGCGCCTGGTCTCCATGACCCCGGGGTATGCCTGGAGGCTCTCCTACCCCTCCTGTCAGCATGAGCTGCTGCTCAAGGGCTTGGGCATAGAAGGGGTGACCAGAGGAGACCCTGAGTGCCCCTGCAAACTTCAGTTCCTTTCATAGAGACTCCAGTCTTGGGGAATATGTCACTCTGGAGTCCAGCATTGCCGCCAAACTTCTGCTGTGTCTAGGAAAGGCCGTGTGTTTACTAAACATCTACTATAGTTCAGAACAAAGTATGCCACACTGCCCCTGCCCTCATGGAGCTGACACTTGGCAAGGGAGCCAAGTATAAGGAAAAACACTTGTGTTATTAACGATTTAAATGGAAGGGATGCTTGGAGGCTAGAAAAACATTTAAAAATGGAGTCGACCCCCAGAAGAGGTTCGGCCAAAGAGGAAGGCATTCCCAGCAGAGAGAACGGCACGTGCAAAGGCCCTGAGGCAGGGAAGAACTGTGCTAGAGCCTCAGGAAGGAGGTTGGTGTCGCTGGAGCATGACGATGGAGATGGGGCAGTGAGGCAGTGGGGAGCATCAGGGACCAGGGCTTGGGTCTTGGTAAGGACTATGACTTTCAGCTGTATGTGATAGACGCCACTAGAGTGTAGTAGATATGGATTTAACACAAACACAACGCACCTTACTTTCTGAAAACACAGACTGCAGGCGGGAGCAGAGAGACCAGTTAGTGAAGCTATATGGGGCAGCAATGGTGGTGACCCAACTGACTGGGGGAATCAGACAGGAAAAAGCTGGCCAGAGGGGAGGTTTTCTTCAGACAGAGTTTCCTAGGTACATGCGACAGGATTAAAAGGTTAAAGGTGGCCCAGCATATCCTAGCATAATGGTGGCACACGCTTTTAATTCCAACACTCAGGAGCGAGAAGCAGGCAGATCTCTGAAAGTTGTTCAAGGCCATCCCAGAGTGAGACCCTGTTTCCCCCATCCCACCCCTAAGGAAGAAACAAAAGAGGTGGGAATGGACATAAAGGTTCTCCATAGACAAGATACGAAAGGAAAGGCGAGAAGACAGGGCCATCTGCTGAGCACCTACCGTGTATCCAGCTGGTCATGTCTTGTGTTTATCTCCATGACCAGGCTGTGAACTAGGCACCATCCTGCCCACGACATGGAGGAGCTGCAATAACCCAGTCAGGGACACACAGGTCACAGATGAGGTGAAGGTATCAACCCAGGATTATTTATCTCCAGGTCCGTTTCATCTCAAAGTTATATAGGGAAAAAAACCTGCATTTTCTTTAGTGTTGATCTAAAAAATGAAGCTTGAATGATTCAGATAAAACATAATTCTCCTGATTAAAACTCAGATATTCCAGCCAGAGCAGACTACCACAGCCAGTCCCGCTGCCTCTTCCCAGAGCGAGTGCCACCGTCGTGAGCTTGGATCAGATCCTTGCACGCCTCTCGCCACACACTTGCATGTGCATCCACAGAAATGTAGCATTCTGTTTTACACAAATGCAGTCGAATATCACATATTGTTCCGATGCTTGTTTTCGCTCACCAGCTTTCCTTGGGGAAACTTCCGTGCTAGGGAACATAAACCGAGCTCATGTTTTAAGAACTGCCGTGGAGTCTGTTGTGGGCTAGATGAACCACAGTTTATTTAGCCCACTCAATTTCCAAAGACAGAAACTCATTTTCCTATAAATGTAGCTTTTAAAGCGCTGGGAGGGTTTTTTTTTCTGAAAATATAAGGCTTTTATTTATGCTAATGGAAGAACCCACATCACACTGACAGCACAAATATTTAGCAACACTCAGCCTGATGACATCGTTCTCCAAATCCCCTTCAGGTACCTTGGAGCTAGCACTCATCCACAGCCAGGGCTCTGTGTAGAATGGGAGGCTGTCTCTGGAGCAGCACAAGAGGGGCAGAGTTCTTGCCTTTGACCTGGACGCGGGGTCCTGTGGAAGGCAGCTAGCAAGCATTGAAAGAGCACTCGTGGGGCCTCCGCGGTCTGGGCTTTAGCTGTGTCGTGACTGTGAAAAGGCAGGCTCCATTTTTAAAAAATGGATACTCATAGAGAGATACTCATTGCCTGCTGGCCAATGTGCAGGACGCCACCTACTGGGGTAGTGGGGAAGGGCAGCTTGCAGTGTTTCTGAGTTGAAGCATTTCCTCTGGAGGAAAGTCTTATGGGCAGTGGATGAAGTTTTGGGGCCTCTATTGTTCTAAGGGGCAGGGGCAAAGCCATCAAGAAGCAGGCTAAATGGAGAGTCTTCTATGAGGTTGACAGAGTACAGAATGGTCACAGTTTGTGTGTGTGCAACAAGGCTTAGTTTGAGGGAGATGGGTCTCCCATCAGTCACACCCCCATAGATCTATCTCATAGCATGAAGAGGCCAGGGCGAGAGAGGGGGCCCAGCCCTCTTCTGCAGCCAAATCACACTTCTTAAAGGCCAAGTCACATCCGTGTTTTGGTGTCTCAGTTTCCTGACTGGGTAACCATGAAACCATGCTGCTCCTGTAAGATGGATCCAAGAGACACCCAGAGGAACTTTGGGGGCACACTGCAGATCAGCATAACTTGTTTTCAGAGAACAGCAAGTAATTGTGTGCTCGCACGGGTCATCACTCACACTAAACAATATGTTTGCTATATGTCCTAAGTACCAAGTGTCTGGCTTTCTCTTTCATCTGGGAACTCATACCCAAGAGTCTAATTCCTCCTTAATACAAATAATTGATATTTTCACAGCATCTAGAGACTGACCATCCCCACATGCCCCCTACTTATGAGCCCCCTTCTCTGCCCACATAGAACATCCTGGAGCCATGAGTTGAGATGCCCACCATGGAAGTCCCACCATGGACTTCGCAGTAACTCAGCTTGACTCAGGTCAAGTACATTATGGAATTTGAATCCGTGAACCTCATTTCTGCATCTGGGTCAGGTTAGAGGCCCGTGTTTCCCCACCATGTCCCTGTGCATATGAGCATACTGGAGGACTCTGCTTGCAGAGAAAACAGTCAATGGTGTGACCATTCAGGTTCATGTCTGCCATGAACACTGAGTTCACAAGGGGTGTGTGTGTGTGTGTATGTGTGTGTACATGTATGTGTGTACATGCATGTGTATGTATGTGTGTGTATGAGTGTGTTTATGTGTGTGTATGTGTGTACACCCACCAGATCTGCACATCAGCACATAACCAGTAAACATGTCACTGCCCTGTGAGCATTTATAATCACTCTGGATGCACAGGTACCCCACCTAGGATTGCCAAGTATCAAGAGATGCCTTTCCAACCCTCCCCTGCCTATCAAGAACCAGGATGTAGTCACAGGCTGTACATATGCCTAGCATGTACACTGGATAGCAGCTATCCCTGTTACCTACCATGGCTCTGACAGACCCAGGCCATGAGGGCGGAAGCAACAGAGGGAGGCCCATATGTGGGCAGTTTTCCCACAGAGGCCAAATCAAGCTCACATGGCTTCCAGGAACTTCCACTGTGTTCAAGTGTCTCTGAACAGCTGAGGCCCCCCACATCCCCATCTCTGATCCCTAAACAGACAGGAAAGCATGGAAAGATGCTCAGGGTTCCCTCAGGATTCCAGGTATCAGTGTCCAGAAGGTGCTAGCAGCAAAGGCAGGTTTCGGTCAGGGTTTGACACCCGAGGGGCTAGCCTGAGCAATGCGTGACTGAAAGTAAGAGCTGGTGATGGGGGAGGGGTGTCAGATAACAGTGAGAAGCCTAGGTTGTTCTTGGCTGTGGAAATCAAGAAAGGAGGAGGGGGGAGACTTTGGAACCAGAGAGGCCGCCGGAGCCCAGAATCAGGATGGTTGTGAGGAGCTTAGGATCAGGTTCAGAGCAGAATGTACGGGTGAGGTCCCGATTGCCTACCACTGTCTTCTCCTCTCCCTGACAGAATTCTAGCTTCCTCCTCCAGCCTTCCTTAGCCACGTGTCTCGGGCTGTCAAGTTCTTGGCCTGATGCACTTTCTGCATCAACTATGGCCCCCTGGAGGCTGCAAACGTGGCAGCAGCGTGGAAACTCCAAGAAGTAAGAGAGGTCTCATGGGAGCTGGAAACACTGCAGAACTGAGCAAAGAGCTCACTTCTTGGGTCCAGACTCTGTCACCTGCCACCGTGACATCTGGACCAGTCGCTTTTCTCATTGAGCTGGCCAGTGATCCAAGGCCACACGCATCATGGCTCCGAGAGACCCTGGGCTCAAGGTTACCTAGCAGCCATTTTCCTTGTCTTGCCTCTGAAGACCAGCAGCTGCACATATAGCTTGGACTGTCCCCTCTTGTGGATGCTTGTAACCACACAGCTGGCAGACCCACCCAGTGACCTAGGTAGCACTGGAGAACTTGCATTTCCCCCAGTTCCTGGGAGAGACTTCTAGCCTGAGGACCACCCTACCCCAGCAGTGAGCAAGATCCTAGGACGTTATTTCTACCTCCAGACATGGCCTTGCCCAGTTCAGTCCGAAACTGGCCCTGGAGCCCGGGCATGAATAGACTTTAAATGTCCCAGCAACTACAGTGTGAGGCCAGGTCGAGACCCTGCACCTTGTGGGTGGTTCATAATGACAGCCACTGGGTCCTTTGCCATTGTAAACACAGGAAAGGTATTGCTGCCATTCAAATGCCTGGCATAAGGAAAATGAGGCCCAGAGAGGGAAGACCATCTGCCTGAGGGCACAGGGCCAGGAGCAGTCCAGGCATCTTAGCCCATTTCACCATTTTGGCCAATTGTTGCAAATCCCTAAGTAGTAGTTTCCTGGGAGCTGGCCACTGGGCCAGCCTCTGGCAAGGGGTAGGACCTCTGGACTCCTCCCACAGCCACGCCACAGGGCTGTAAATGCCCACCCTGCACACCAGCCCAGCTGCTGGTGCTGTCTTATCACTGTGTCAGAGTCCCAACCCAACCACACCCTCCAGCATGTGCACAAGGCACAGGCGCTCACAGTCCCTGGCTTGTGCTAGGTCCCACAGCTGTCATCTGAAGCCTCCTTGACAGGGTCTAGTTTCTAGGAACCGCTGTTGTTCCACTGAATGTAAGTAGCAGGGCCCTGCAGCTCCATGCGTGGTTTCGACTCCCAAGACGGCTGGAGGCTGGAGACCTCGGCTGCTGTGGACCCGACATCAGGCACCACTACTGTGGGCTGTATGCAGCAGCTTGCTCCGCCTGCCCACATCAGGCTGGAGAGAACCAGGTGGCTGCTGGGCTCGCCTCACTGGCCTTCATCATAGCGGTACCCTGTGCCTCAGTGTGTGGATCTGTACAGCATGGCCCAGGAGCTTGGCTGTATACAAAACTCCGTCAGAGATTGGTTCAGGGAACTTCAAGCACCGTAGTCCCAGGGCTACCACCCCTCCCCCACAAAAAGTGTGTAAAATCTACCCAGGGTCATAGAGCAAGGAGAGACGGGTCCCAGCCAAGCCCCCTGACCCAGGTAGAGGGGTGCTGACACCCCCTGATCCAGGTAGCGGGGGTGCTGACACCTAAGACAGACGCACACAGACTTACATATCCAGGGCCTGGCTGGGGTATGGCTTCAGGGTAAAGCATTTTTCACAACACACACAACATGCTGGGTTCTATCTCTAGCAAGGCAAGAAGAAAAAAAAGAGCCCAACATTCCAGACCCAGGACAGCATTAGGGGTAGTGGCAGTGGGGACATGGCAGTCAGTGACAGTGGTGAGCATGCAGTTGTTTGTAGTAGTCAATAGCGGCCATGGTAATGTGGCAGTCTGTAGCCCCCAGTTGCTAGTCAAACAACTCTGGACAGCTCACGCTGGTGACTGGGGGCTGAACACAGTCCACAGGGGATGTTGAGTTTGGCCCCGAAACATCTCCAGTGGTAGATCTTGTATCAGACTCCAGCCTTCTGATTTATGACAGCTTGGGAGATCTCGCCACTGGATCCCACACTCCCCCTTCAAAGGGCCAACATGCTCTTGCTTTAGTCTCCATGGCTCCTGATTGCTGCCTTCACCCATTTGCCCTCAGTCGTGGCCATTGCTGTCCCTGTCTATTGACACGGGGCCGAGGTTCTTAGGGCTAGCCTATGGGTCCCCTGTTGAATTAGGAGCAGCAGGGCTGCGTCCCGGGCACCCGGCCGCCCGCATGGCTAGCTTATGCCCGAAATAATTACACGGAAACTGTATTCTATTAAACATTGCCTGGCCCGGCTAGTTCCAGCTTCTTATTGGCTAGCTCTTACATATTGTTCTAACCCATTTCTAATATTCTATGTAGACCACGAGCTGGCTTACCAGGGAGGATCTTAACCTGCGTCTGTCTGGAGCGGGAGAATCATGGCGACTCCTCGACTCAGCTTCTTTTTCCCAGCATTCTCTTCTGTTTACTCCACCTACCTAATTTTCTGTCCTATGAGGGCCGAGGCAGTTTCTTTATTATTAACCAATGAAAGCAACAGATAAGATACAAGACCCACCTCCATCAGTCCCCAGCATAACAGAACCTCAGAGCTGTGACCCGCCCTGCATAACTCACTCCCACAATGCCCACCATTTGTCCTATGGATGTCAGATCCACAGGGCTTCAGAGGAATCCAAGACTCAGTCAGGCCATGACTTAACACTCACTATACATGCCCAGTTTCTTTACTCGCCTGCCAAGCTGCAAGAAAGCACACAAGTGAAAACAGACCCCCAGAACTGCTTCTCAGGAACGTTGGGACCCTCTGGGAACCCCCCCTCTTAGTGAAGTTCCTCAGTGTCTAGAAGGAAAAACAGGTTTAGAAACGGGACCTGACAGCCAGAGGCCTAGCAAATCTCAGCACCAGCCACCAGAGCCCAATCTTCCCAGATCCCCAGTAGTACCCACTCCTAGTACCCACACCACATCCACTTAGTGTGCATGAGTAAGGGGTGTACCTCCCTCCAGTGCGTCCAGAAAATGAGAGTTTGGTTAAAAGGCCCCTCTAGGCTCACTTGTCTTCACAGGGAAACTAGGGTGGTGGCGTCAGGGAGGGCGCACCTTTCAAAAAAATTTTCAGCCCTTTAGTACTTTCCTGGGAAGGCAGAAGCCCAAGGCATGCTGGGATGAGAACTGAGGATTCAGCTATTTTATTTTCTGGGACCAAGCTTGGTGATAAGAGCCTTTACTTGCAGGGCCAACTCGCTGGCTTTGGGGCTATGTCTTAGTCCTCTGTGGAGCTCAGCACTTAGTATGGAGGAAGCTTTGTGTGATATGTGTCTGCCGAGCTGCAGTGGGCTGGGCTGAGCTGAGCTATGATGTCAAGAGTCAGGTGTATGAAGTGTTCCTCAGCATGTATGTTCACTGGGACAGATATTACCATGAGTCTGGAAGCATCCGTGTTTCTAGGTTCCTCCATTCACTTAGCAGGGGCCCCCTCAGGACCTGAATTGCTTGGAACACCAGGCTCCTTAGGCCGAAAGCCTGGAAGGTTCCTGCCATGTTTGCCTGTTCCTTCCTTAGCTCCCAGTGACAGGCATGCATCTCTCCTGGCCCCTGCCCAACTCGCCTGCCCTCTGTCCACAGGTTTGCCGGGCACTGCTCCAGACCTGGAAAAGAGGAAACAGATTTTTGGGCAAAACTTCATACCTCCAAAGAAGCCAAAAACCTTCCTGCAGCTGGTATGGGAAGCGCTGCAGGACGTGACGCTCATCATCCTGGAGATAGCAGCCATCATCTCCCTGGGACTGTCCTTCTACCACCCACCCGGAGAGAGCAACGAAGGTAGGGTGTCCCGGACACTCCTGAGCACACGGCATGCGGAGGGTGCATGTACGGACAGTGCCCACAGCACTGTACAGCAGGAGCGACCTGGCTGGGACTCGGGCCACAGAGACCACTGCATGCCCAAGGTCCCAGTCAGCCCACCATGAGTGCAAGGCTAGACCAGCAGTGGTGATAACTACAGTGGGCATTTATTAGGCACCTCCAGTATTCCCAGCTTGAGCATCCTTTAAACATAAGGGACCTGGGGTATAGAGAAGGAGGTTGAGTTGCTCTGGGCCACCCAGTATCTAAGTTCGTGGTAACTAAATATCAAACTATCGTAGACTATGTGGTTTATAGAGAGACATGTCTCTTGTTCTGGAGACTCCCGAGACCAACCACAAGGCGGTGCATCTGGTGAGGGGCTTGAGCTGCACTGTAGCACGGCGGTGGGGTTGCATGTAAGGCCAGGCATTCATGTTGCCTTAGCTATTTCCCTGCCCTGGGATGGCACCCCCCATGACTTCATCTAATCCATATTACCTCACCAAGGTCCCGTTCCCAAAATCCACCTATATGGGAGCCTGGGGGTTAATATCTGGCATGGGACCACAGTGCACACCAAGAAGAAAGGCCTGGGGTTGGCTGTGGAGCATGTTACAACATGCTGCCAAGCTCCTTCCAAGGCCATTCCTTTCTGTCACCTGATCATGGGAGCGGAGTCGGTTCTCTCTCTCCACCATATGGGTTCTGGGGATTGAATTCAGGTCACCAGGCTTGGCAGTGAGCACTTTATCCACTGTGCCATCTAAATGGCCCTGGCTTTTTTTTTCTTTTTCGTGTGTTTTCTTTCCATAGAGGATAGGAAGAAAGGCAAATAAAAAGTCGGGCAGAAAAATGGTAGATGCAAACGAATCCGTTATAATTGCTACTGTGATTCAGATTTAAGATTGACTTGAGCTTCCCCAGTAGCTAGGGCAGAAAGGGAAGATGGGTGATTTTCATAGGCCGAGCTATCAACAAGAAAGAGGGTGAGGTTTCTGATAGTGGATCCTGGGACGGCGTTCCCATAGAAGAGTGAGGGGGTGTTCTGTGGACAGCCTTCCTTACAGTTTCAGCCAATATAGAAGCCTGCAGACGATAAGGCTGACATATGTCCTACAGTTGCCAGAGCTACCCCAAATCAGGAGCTGTTGTGGCTGAAGCCATTGCCTCATTGCCTAAGCCACACAGTAACTCTGTAGACAAATACTATTCTTTCTTTCTTTGTTTTGAGATTATAATTGAATTACAGTTCTCCCTTCCTTTTCCTCCCTCCAAACCCTCTCACATGCCCCTCCCATCTCTCCAAGTCTCCTTTTTTTTCTGGCTTTTTTTATTGATTTTATTGAGCTCTACATTTTTCTCTGCTCCCCTCCCCCCAACCCTCCCACAAAGTCCTCATGCTCTAAATTTACTCAAGAGGATTTGTCTTTTTCTACTTCCCATATAGATTAGATCCATGTATGTCTCTCTTAGTGTCCTCATTGTTGTCTAGGTTCTCTGGGATTGTGATTTGTAGGCTGGTTTTCTTTATGTTTAAAAACCACTTATGAGTGAGTACATATGATAATTGTCTTCCTGGGTCTGGATTACCTCACTCAATATGATGTTTTCTAGCTCCATCCAAGTCTCTTTTAATCAGTGATTATTGCATACATATATGTATTTGTATATACCTATAAGTCTCTAAATATATCCTATTGTGTCCATATATTATTATTTGCATGTTTTCAGGAGTAACCTTTGGCACTGGACAGCCAATTGGTGTGCTCTTCCCTGTGGAGAGCCAGCTGTCCCACCCAGTTTTACTCGGTTGTCTGTAGTTCTTTGTGAAGGTTGAGGGGTCTCGTGGGCTCTTTCTCTGAGTCATCCTTGCTCAGATCACGCTTGCGCGGTTGTGTTGATGAAATATTATGGGTGCAGCTTCTGTTGTTATTTAGAGACAATCACACAGCAAAGCCCCTGATCCTCTGGCTCTTACCATCTTCCTGCCCTTTCTTCCTAAATGTTCCCTGACCCTTAAGATGTGGGAATGTTTTCTAGATGATCCTCTGGGACTGAGCTCCACAACCCTGCATTTTGATTGGTTGTGCTTTCTGTAATGGTCTCCATCTGTTGCAAGGAGAAGTTATCATTGGCGAGGGATAGAAAGTGCACTCATCAGGCTAGACCCAGGAGGAGCTAGATGCTATTCTTATGAGTCCCAGAGCCTGTGAAAGATGTGCCAAGGTCACCCACCAAGGGGCTGAAACTCTGTGGCTCTGGCAAAAAACATCCAGCTCCACAAAGAGGGCTGGGACTGAGTCACCGGCATCAATGGCCTCCTGTGGCCCTGCTGAGCAAGGTGAGACAAGGGCAGCTGGTAGAGGCCAAGATAGGACGGCAGAAGTCCTGGGGTGTGCCAGGAGAGACCCCGTGGCTCCAGACAGATGACTGCTGCCATGAACATCTCTGGGGTACACAAACCCAGAGCCCAGAGAGCATGTCTTGGTGACTGGAGTGTGTCCTGAGTCGACCTGGTTCTGCCCCTGGCATACCTCATTGCTGCTGGTCCAGCCACACTTTCAGTGGAAGGCAGCTGCCTACACTGTGTCCCACTAGCAAAGTAATGGAGGCAGGACAGGTTTCCCATATTCTAGCCCCCACGGAGAGGTGAAACCCTTCCCACCAGCTTGCTACACATGCTGCATGCAGCCCCAGACGGGAGTCCGCCTGCTGCAGTGCTCACCTGCCCTTATCTTGAGCATCCAAGAGTGGCATCTCAGCTGGCAATTTTTTTTTGCTTTGTTCTTTGTTTTTTGTTTTGTTTTTCAAGACAGGGTTTCTCTGTAGCTTTGGAGCCAGGTGTGGAACTCACTCTGTAGACCAGGTTGACCTCAAACTCACAGAGATCCGCCTGCCTCTGCCTCCCGTGTGATGAGATTAAAGGCGTGTGCCACCATCACCCTGCTTCAGCTAGCAATTCTTGTCTGGCTAGAGTGTGGTGTGTGTTCTACTGGACAAGTGGAAGTACTGGGCTGGGAGAAGAGGAGAGGACAGTTGCATAGAACTGGCCTCAGAACTACTGAGAACTCAAGAACAATGGCACTGGGTTTTTGATCGTACTGCACGTACTGGCTTTGTGGGAGCCTAGGCAGTTTGGATGCTCACCTTACTAGACCTGGATGGGGGTAGGTGGTCCTTGGACTTCCCACAGGGCAGGGAACCCTGATTGCTCTTTGGGCTGACGAGGGAGGGGGACTTGATTGGG